GGCGGGGCTGAGCCGGGGTGGGATGACGAGGGGCTGGTCTCCGCCTCGCCCCTTTTTGGGGGGGCACTGGGAGGGCGTGACAGCAAGGAGTCTTACTGTATTGCCGTGCACGGTCTAATATTAATTGGGCTCGATCCGCAAAGAACACCGCCACACGCCAGCAGAAGAAAATTAAACAGCTTCATTTAGATACAGAAATATATATTAGTAAGGAGGAGAAAGAAGGAAAAGAGGGGAAAACGCTTTACCACCGTCCTGCGATCCTACCTCGGGGAAATCCTCATCACCCAGACGGGGACAGCGCCGGAGACAGCATCGCCCAAGTGAGAATCTCAATCTCGGGCTCTCCCTTGCTGCCCTTTCCCGTGCTATGTTCAGACAAAGAGGAGCCCCCCTTGCTAACAGAGCGGGCGTCAATTAATTCACTCAGTACTCATGAACTCGCACTTGGCTAGGGTCCGAGTCCAGTTTCCTGATCAATCAAATGCTCCGCCGAAAAACACCTGGTTTACACAACATTTGGTTTACTTTCTTTGTCCCGAGCGGGTAGCCAAGCCACCCCAGCCGAGGACGCGCCCGGGGTCATCCTCCTCTCATGCACACAGCATACCCCTTGTCAACTCTTACTCTATTTTCTTTACCCTTGCATCTTGGCTCTAGAGTTGAGAAGGGGAAAACGTATGTGGGCATACTTTCCACTATTAGAGCATTATACATTTGATGAGCTTGTTTATATATCCAACAATTACACACACAAATTAACATTAATATGATGAATATAATGATTAATATGATAAAAATGCTTCCAAAATACCATTGTGCAGTAGAGGACTGAAATAAGAAACCATACCAGTGATGATTAGAATCTTGTGCGATAACGTGATATATCAAGTAATTTGTTAAATTCAATGTGCGTAGCAAGCCTGTGTTCAGTTAGAAAGCGTTGATTCAGTTGAAGATGCTACTGTAGTAATATAGATTCATTTACAATTTGTTGTAAGGTGGGTAAGTAAAAATACACTTGGTAGAGGAAGGCAACATGGTATCCAAGTGAGGTTTACATCATCCACCAGATCAGGCAACAGGTAATACACATCACCGTTCCAATGGAGAATCTCCAGATGCTGCAGACATCCAGAGAACGGCCTAATTCAGATATATTATTGCTGGCAAGACACACATGCTGAGTTCCTATTTCATATAGCATTGAAAAATTGTTAATAGGATACAAAGTCCAAAGACATATATTGGAGGAATGCATTAATAGACAAGGTTCCATAGATCTAATTAAACCATTACAATTAGGTCCTTTATCCGTAGCAGTGCAGTCATCTAACCTATAAGTGATATTATCTTTATCAATATGTGAGCCTTAATTGAGGTATCATAAAATAGAAAGGAGTAATAAGAGGGAGTACACGAAATGAACATAATTCTTTGGTTACAGAAGGTAATAATATTGTATGGTACCACTACACCAAGTTCCTTTGCAGTAACATTCGGGGATTGAGCGGTTATCCAGGCCATCTGAGGGAGTTTAGAGACGGCCCTCCGTGTTGTTATTCCTTCCTCCTGCAAAGCTCATTGTGCATGTTCCTTTTGTATCAGTATATACAGATGTTCAACAGAACATATTGTCCAGTTAGTAAGGAAGGTCACGTTATACTGTTGGAGACGGGTCCTGTTAAATGGTGTTAGCATATCCTTTTGATAACTTAAGCTATTCTCATGAAGAAGTATCGACGTTGGAAGCCATTGGGCATTAACAGTAACGGCCTCCGTAGTGCTTGCTCAGTGTTCTTTAATTTGTTGGCCAGGACTTCCAAATCTATGGAGTTTACTAGTCCCATTCCTGATCCAAACCCTCCCAAGAGGGTATCATACCATGCCCACCTCTGGCAAGCACAAGGTGGGATAATTGGGAAAGTTACATTAAAGTGAAAGAGCATCTTTTTGACCATAACTGATACATTGACACATGATTTCGGAATCCTTACCACTTGGGGTATCTGAACTGTAGTGTTTGGGGGTTTATTTACATTAATCCAAATATGATCCACCCAAGTACTCCTATTAACAATTGCAGTTGAATTTGAACAAAATAAAAATTGGGAGCTATGTACAGTAAAAGTTAATTCAGTTGCATTACACTCAGTTATTTGGTCTTCTAAATTCTGTCTCCAAGTAATAGCATTGGCTAAACTCATATTAACTAAACAGCATATTTTTACATATGAAGATATATTAATACTAACTGGAGAGGGACCAACTATAATAGCCCTCAAAAGAATTTTACCCCTCCAGGCTGTGGCATTGACTGTTGTTATATTGGCAATTGTACAAGAAGTGTTAGCGTCACAGGTGAAATTGTCTTGCTGGCGCGGATTAGTTGCATTCTTCCAATTCCATCTAAGCTGCATACTGTTATTGGATAACTTCATTCCGGGGTCCAGGCATGACATCAACAGTCAGGAATGACAGCACAAGAATAAACTAGGTACGATAAAATAACTGTTCAGTGGGAAGCATCTGTGGGAATTTTTGTCCTGGCATCATTACTGCCACCACGTTATTATCTCCTTGAGCTATTATTTCGCCAGGCTGAGGTGTGTCTCCTGGGTGCCTTTTTTACCTATACTTTGGCTCCAGACTCATTAGTAGAGCCAAAACCACCTACTTGGGTGGTAACATTTGGTGCTTCAGGAACTTGTTCCCAAATAACATTTTTATAGAGGATTATCAGTAATTGAGCTATTCTATCTCCTACATTAAAATGTAAGGTTTCTTTAGATGTATTATATAGCATTATTTTTATTTCCCCTACATAGTCTGAATCTATTATCCCTCCCACAATTTATATTCCCTTCTTTGCCAAATTGGATCTAGCAGCTGTTTGCCCATAATATCCAGAAGGTAGCTGAATACCCAATCCAGTACTTACCGTGACCTGTTCCAGAGGATCAATCCAAACAGTTTCTATACTCCTAAGATCATATCCAGCTGACCCTAAAGTACCTTGATATGGGACTTGTGCTTTATCAGAAAAGGTTCACCACTTTATGGTCTTGTGACTTGTGCTTTATCAGAAAAGGTTCACCACTTTATGGTACTTGTGACAATGTGCTTTCTAATCTGTAGATTAGGTGTCATCATTCGGGCCAAGGGAGTACTTTCTCCCAAGGGCCGATGATTCAGCTGCTGTAAGACCATAAACAGAGTATCTTTCCAATGTGTATAGGAGGCATTTCCTAATTTACACAGTTTTTCTTTTAGCATGCCATTCACCCATTCTATTAATCCTGCAGCTTGGGGATGATTGGGAATATGATAGGCCCATTTTAAGTTATGGTCCTCACAATATTGGTCGATTAATTTCCCTTTAAAATGAGAACCATTATCACTTTGAATTTGGGATGGGATTCCATAATATAAACAGATTATATCTAAGGTTCTACAGGTATTTTTCTGATTGGCACGCTGGTATGCACAGGCGACTAGGACTCCAGAGTAGGCATCTACACAGGTATCAAATGTAGCAGCATCCCCTTGAGATTGGCAAGGGCCCAGTTTGCCAGATTTGGGCTGGTGTCTTCCCCCGATTGCGCTCCCCTGTAACAACTCGGGGAATAACCTTTTTACTGTCCAGCTGACGAGTTAAGCATTCATCCTTAGCCTGCTTTAACACCGATAAAGAAATGCTGATACCCTGATCCTGTGCCCACCTGTGTATAGTAGCACATCCTAAATGGCCTGATTGGTGATATATCCATTTTGCCAGTGCTTATTCTTTATGTATTTGGGTTTCATCCAAATCTGTTACAGTAGCCAGAGAGTCAGCTTTGGCATTGTACTCACTCATTTTGGATGCGTGGGCATCTACATGAAAGACAGAAACATTTGTAATTTGAACCGTGTCCCAGATCTCCTCCCATAATTCACTTCCCTATAATAATTTACCATGTATTTTCCATTCATCTTTATGCCATTTAGGCATCCAAGTAACCAACCCATTAGCCACTGCCCAGGAATTGGTAAAAAAAGATGGCATTGCTTTCCCTTTTCATAGCTAATAGCCTGAAATACTGCCTGAAGTTCTGCAAATTGACTACTCTTTCTTTTCCCCATGGTATCTAACACCATTCCTGTTACAGGGTTATAGGTTATTGCCTCCCAGCATCGTTCATGGCCTACATACTTAGCAGCTCCATCAGTGAACCATGCACACTGCTGCTGTTCTTCAGTCAATGATTCGAATCCTTGATTCCAGGTTACTTTAGAATTTTCCAGTTCAAGGGGAGATTGATGTTCATAGCCCTCATTATCACTGGGCATACTAAAGATATGTTCATGAAGGGTCAGGACGCCAGAAGGGCCTGTCTTAGCTCTGTTCTGTATATACCACTTCCATTTGATTATGGTGGCTTCC